CTAGTTGTTAAAGATTCGTCAATCTGCACAACGTGTATGTTTCCCCTGAAAATACTCATATTTATCTACTGTATAAATATATTAATAAACTCATAAAAAAATACGTAAAATAAATTGATCTTTTTTATTGATCAGTTTCCAGCTAATATCGTCCCGAATATATCTATATTGTACAACTCTTTCTCTATAGTTTCTCCCAATTTGCTAATGTTTCAAGAAAAAATTCTGATTTACAAATAATATTCTAACAAAATGTTTTAGAATAAAATAAATTAACATCCAAACTGTTAATACTACCTAGTTTAAGTAATAAAGTAATTTTGGCAACCCCGCTTATTATCCAGTAAAGAAATGTCAAACAATCAAATTTTCATGTTTTCACTGCGCATTAGTATATTTGTATCCTTGTTTATCGATATGTAAAAGAAGAAAGTGAGGAAACTCAAAACATTCAGTTTGAACCCTTCCTCCATGGTTTGAACTGAGTGTCTGTGAAAAAACGCTATTATGTTAAATTTAATGCAATGCTTTTTATTTTTAAGAGTTATATAATTAAAATGTGTAATTGATGTATACTTTTTACTGTATTTCGGCATCTAAGGTGAGTTAAAATCATAATTAATATTAAAATCAACAAACATAGTGAAATTGGCCAAATTTAGTGTGTTTCTAATATCGAATGGAACCATGTAAACAACGTACCGGTATTCGCAGTTTAAAAGCAGTTTGTAAGATATACATATTTATTTAGTTGTTTTTCCTGTTATATTAGTGCGTGTAGTTCTGAGTTTTGATTTGAGCAAAACTGAGTTCCTAAATCCATTTTTGTTTGTTATATTTTTATCAAAAATTTTCTGTATTATTAATGACTTCTCCAATAGTTTCTCACTAAACCAGCGAAATAACCAGTACTTTTGTGCATTTATTGAAAAATAGGGTTTTCCAAATATCGTTTATAGTGGATTTATTCGGTTTTGCTTTAGAGCTCCTCAATTTTTCGTTAATTCACAACTAATTTTGCTTGCATAAGTGCAGAGAGTTGGGAAAAGGAGATGTCATATAGGTTTATCCGGTTTATCGTCGTACTAAAAAAGTACTAGGCAGTGGCAGAGCTTATTTCATTCTAGCAGTGGGGATAGAAACAGTAATGTATTTAAACAATTTTAAGCCCATCAATTAAGTATTTTAAAATTTGTTGAATATAAACTTATTTTAATCGCGATCACCGATTTTTCAAAAAAAGCTAATACAAGATGTACCTACTTCTGCAAATAAAAATTCCAATGTTACACGTCCATGGGTTAAAAGTTTTTAAAAATCAAAAAGAATAATGATATAAAAAAAATTGTTCTTACGAGTACTTAACCATTTTTCAAATTATGATATTTATTCATAAACATTAAGCAAAAACGGTGAATATACTTTATGCCCTTTTCTTTTGGAAAATATAAAACTCGCAGTTAAGCAATTTTTAGAAGATAAACTCATGAGAGCCTTTTACAGTGCTTGAAAGCACCTTTAAATTAGCTTCTTCTAATAACTCTTTAACAAAGGTTGTCATGAATATAAAAATTTTATTTTACACACATCGTCAAAATTCTTGGACCGCCTTATGTTTGTCAAAATGAGACACAAAAGTCAAGAAGTGTGTTACATAGTACTCTTAATTTGGTTATATATCCAATACAAATTGACTGAATTAAATTTTAACTAAACAAAAAAAAATACAAACGAAAAATAGTGCATATTAAAATGATTACTAGAATTTGAATTCCAGAAGAAAACCAGTTTGGAGCGAAATTAAAAATTCATTTATATTTGGTGTGTCCTCCCCTGTTTTGTAGTTAGGTATTAACTGTGCATGGAAACAATAAGGGTGTTAATGTAATCCATTGGTATGTTGTTCCATTCTTCTTGGGCCGCGACTGTGAGTTCCTGGAGGGTGATAAGGAGGATTAATTCTGTTTGAGATTGCTCTTCCAACGAAATCCCACATGTGCTCAATAGGATTCATATCTGGCGAATTTGCTGGCCACGGTAATCTTTGAATATTCTGAATTTCTAGTGCATTTTGTGAAGTTCTCGTGCGATGGGGCCTAGCATTGTCATCCATTTAAATAAAATTTTCTCCAATTTCATTTCCGAGAGGATAAATAATGGGTTCAATAATGTTTCGAACATATCTATCAGCTGTCATAGTGTCTGGAATGGGAATAAGCTGCGTACGACGACCATGCATTATGTCTCCCCAAAACATTACTGTTCCTCCTTGGTATGGAACGACTTCTCTGGCAAAAGATAGTCTTTCTGGTCGGCCTGGCCCTCTCCAAACTCTGTAACACCGACTATCACTTATTAAACCTTATCTGGTTTCGTCCGAAAAAAGAACATTTCGCCATTAAGCTAAGAGCCAGTCTCCGTGTTCCTGTGCCCACTGTAGACGAGCAGTTATATGTCTGGAAAGTAACCTGGGTACTCTTAATAGTCTCCTAGATCGTAATTTGGCTCCAGCAAGTCTCCGCCGTATTGTGGTACTGGAAATGAATCGATCATACGTTCTTCTAAAATAAGTTCGGACAGCTGAGACTGTTACGGTTCGATTCCGATGTACATAACCTGCTACATACCGATCTTCTCTTGGATTAGTTACCCTAGGACGCCCAGTCGCACGTCTTCAGCTGTGTTGCCAGTTTAGTACAATTGTACTAGATCCAGTACATTATTTGAGAATTTTGTACTCTAGTACACTCGAAGCAAAATCTAGTACTTTTGCTTTTTTCGGCCCGTTTCCATTTGACGGGTAAATTAATATATGGTGGGGGTTTTCCTTGTTTGTGTTAGCTTGATAACTACTCTCTCGATAAAAGCTTTTTCTGCTCTTCTGAACCAAACCCCTGTATAAATAATTATGCAGTAGCGACAGTTCATTGTTTATTAGGGTTCCATATTTTTCTGCGCATGTCCGTAAATAAGCGGCAAATACGCCAAACTGGCATTTGTGGTGAATTGTCAATGGATTAATGGTATTTGATAGTTTTGATTATCTGATTGGTTATAATGCACATTTTAGTACATTTTTGTTACATTAAACTTAGTTTTTATCTTTCATTTGTTGTGTGATATTTTATTCAAACAGAAAAAGGGACAAGATATTTTAAAGTTAGCTTTTTCAGTGTAGAAATAAGCGGCAAAAACGTCAACTGTCAATAAAAATCTGACCACTCCGACATGAAAGGAGCCGACTCCAGCTGACGCCACTGTATTATTAATTATACTGGGACCAAACCATCACAATTCGAAAAATATGGTACAATTTATAGAATCTGGTTCATTTTTATGGAATCTGGTATTTATGTGATGTGTTTGGACAATGGTGCCGCTGTTTCTAAATGAACTAACAGATACATTAGGTGAGTATTATTAATGGTTTATGTTTTGCAAGGTAAAACTACTTGAGGTATTTTTAGTTTGCATTTGAATGTCACAAAATAATGCAAAGGAAAATATTTTTTTAGATACGAAAGATACAAACATGTAATAGTTAAATTTTTCTTTTTTTTGTAATTTTCGATACTCTTGTCTTTTTTTGTTAGCGATCAATTTGAGTAACACAAGGCCGAAAATTCGTACATTTATAATTTAAAACCAGTTGGATCAAGGGCGGCTCCAGAGGAGGGCCCATGAGGTTAAATTTCTTTCAATCCATGAGCCTTTTATTATTAAAAAAAATATTCTTAAAAGGAAACTGTTATTTATTGGCAATGCCCCCCTCGCGAAATAACTCCCTTCGAATATTCGACCTAGAGTCGCCCTTGAGTTAAATAAGGAAATAATGAGCTGACAAAGATACTGTGGTTACATCTTGATTTAAATTTTTGAAAGTGTCAAAAAATTATTAAAATTAACGTAATAAAACTTTTAAAAAAATTTCTTTGAATTATTTTTTGGTTGCTAACTTAAAATTTCTACTCTTTCTTATCTTCGGTATTAATTGAGATATTGGAACGATTTTAAAGTTTAGAGTTAGAACTTTATTATACCTAATTGATTTAATTATTTTATGACGTCATAACGTGCTTTTGATTTTTCTGGTAACAACAGTAAATCACAATTTATTTTTTAATTTTTTATAGAAACGCCAATTTTTAATCGAAAATTATAATTTATTGAACATTTTTGTGTAAGAATCTTTCATTTAAAATATTATGTCAGTTGTCAATATTATTTCTAAATATGTTAGGTACTATTAACTTTACTTTTGAATTTTTTAAAATTTTCTAATAATTGGTTTTTCTTTTTAGAGAATATCCGTGAAAAAAATTAAAACGCCGCAAATATTTCGAGTTAGTCGGTAGCACGATATCAATGGTTTGAGCTCATGTTCTTTTCACCTCTGACAATAAAGACGTTTGATCCTAGAATGTATATGTCCTTTGATGTTCAATATAAATCTTTCATCTATATTATAATGGCTTAGGATGTACTTTCTAGGATTAAATGGACAAGGCTGCAGATATACTAGCCTGCGATACGTCTATTTTGAAAAATCTAACGTATCAAAGGGTTGATATAGAATTGAACATGATACGATGATCATTAATGTCGTCGGGAAAAGAAGATTCTCCGGACGCGATTTTATCGGAAATATCTACTGGAAATATGGAAAAAGGAAAGAAATACTGCACCAACTAATGGGACTTAGAGTAAAGGAGCAATGAGGGGTTGGAAATATGGAAAAAGGAAAGAAATACTGGACCAAGTAATGGGATCCAGAGTAAAGGAGCAATGAGCGGTGCCAAATGGTGAGTCTTTTGAATTAAATTAAACTTTTTTTTGTAAACAAATTATTACAAAATTTCTTCGATCATGAGTCAGGTGGCAGGCTTCAAGGCCGCGCTCTACAGGGACGGCTTAGGCATTCCCATGACATTACATTTATAATATTCTACAAAAGGTTTCGCGGGCTGCATAGTAATAAAAAAAGAAAATCAAACAAAATAAAATATCAAATGTTCTTTAATCAAAAATTGGTGATATAATTGCATTTGCACAAAATGATTGCGTTTAAGCAAGTAACTATATAATTTTAATCTTGGATTGAGATCTTTGTGGAAATCGGTGCTTAATTCAGCTGGTAAATCGCCTAAAATACACAAAACAGTACAATTGTTAAAAATTAAGTAAATTTAATAAATGGATTTTCATATTGTATGTTGACATTTTCGTGAAATATATAAATTTTTGAGTTTTCAGTAGACTAACAATACCCGAATCCCACTAATCTAGCAAAACAAGAAATTCACACATAAACAAATAATCTTTTTTAGTGACTTTTATGGCAACTTATATATCACTTCTGTCAAACACTTCAGTAATATTGTTTTTTCGGGTTACTTATTTATTTAGTTAATATTGTTACTTTTAACCAACTGATTATATCAATTTAGTCACATGGGATACGTGTATTGTTAAAAAAACATTGGATATAAGTAAAACTCGAAATAAATATTTTATATTATGCTATACCTTGGAAACAAATGAAAATCGGACATGAGAATATGAGTTTTTACATTATTTTCATGTATAAAATATACTCTGGAATTTATTGTGCCGTTCCTCCACACTTTCCGTGTATAATATTTTTAAAATTTATATTTGTTACTGTAATTTCTCCTGTTGTAATTTTTTCAGTTCGGTATTGGTCCCGCATGCCCTCCCTCCAGGGTTACCATATTCAAAAATACAATTTCCTGATATAAATAATGAAAATCCGTACAAAATAATAAAACTCAAATTTACGACATTATTACTAAACGTTTTATTCGTTCTACGGTTTTAACGACCAAAAGAACTGTTAATACAAGTTTTTAAGTATATATATACGTTTGATGATTTTCCTGATAATTACAGACATTATTCCGGACATGTCCGGACTTTTTCTAACCTCTGATAACCCTAACTGAACCATTGACAGAAACATTTATGTAATAAGACTTACATAACTTCAACTGAGATTTGTCGTACCCTATATTTAATAATAGAAATTACCATAAAATATTTTACGTGATAAAAACTTCATTAGGACTGTCTTCCATGTGTGGTAACATTGGTACGGGTTATGAAAGCTCTCCTGTAAACTGGAGCTCTTCTTGTGTCATCGCTAAGAGCACTATCTTTAGTATTCCAATTTACAAGCGGTGGCAGTGACTTCTGATAACGTTTCGTATCAAAATTATCGTCTTCCACTGTAATCGGTTGCAAATTAATCGTGGAATTGTTCAATATTTCTTTGTTATCGTTTGTAAAATTTGTTGGCAATGGTATTTTGACGAACAGAATGTCGTCTTTTTTGTTGGACTCGTTCGAGATGTGGTATTGTATATTTTTAAGATCGTTATTTTTGATTGTGTTTATTAAATTTTGTATGGCCGCGTATTTAGTATCTTCGGTTTCCATGCGTGCCAGTTTCGATTCTGTCATGTTCGGTGGCATTTCCTTATGCAGGTACGATACTGGCCAATGTCGTGGTTGCCCGATTCCTCCTAAAACATAAAATTGTTTAGTCCGCTCTTACGGAAAAATAGCGACCTGTCAATGGGACTAGTTTTTAAGATACAAGGTGCTAAACTTAAGAAATACCACTTATTCAAAACCAGTTATTTCAGGAGAAACAAAAAGAGCTAAACGTACTGTTGGATATTATATAAAAAAAGAATATATCTGTTGGAAATATATCCAACATATTCAGCTAAAATCTGAAAGCTAACCATGACCGTTATTTAGAGCATATTGTTTGTAGCCTGGTCTTTTTTAGTATACTTAGTAGCATGACAATGGCTCTCGCTTTTGGCGTTTCTTCTTTCAAACTAGCTAGTACTTATTATTTTATTTATGGGACCGTGATGATTCATGGTCCGAAAGTACTCGAACTTCGACGGTTTCTAGGGTTAAATTTGGTTTATGCAGAGGGTGGTTCACTATTTGGAGTTCACTCTTGAACTGACTCTATTTGAAACTTTATAAAGAATTTTACATTACCTGGTAAAGGTGGTTCTAAAAACTGTTCATTGAATATCATTTCGTACTGATCAAGGCTCAAAGCGGGCGGAGGAACAGGATGCTGACCCGGTGGTCTATCAGGTCTAAATATTGGTGGACGCCACGGTTGCCGATGAGGATTAGGAGAAAAATGTTTTCTATCGTCTATCTTGTCAGTTTCAGGTAGATAAGGGTAATATTTTTCGCTGCATTTTCTCCATTGAGATCGCTCTGGTCCAACGTAACACCTTAAAAATATATAATTCATAAATGTTTAATTATTTTATATTTTATTATCTTTTCCTTTGGTTTGAATGATTTCCCAACCCTATTTTCAGGGTGGATTAACACATAAGTTGTTTGCCTCTACCTTAAGAGCTCTACATGGATCTAAACTAGTTGCACAACGGCAATATTTTTAAATGTTCATCTGTATCGAGTTAGTTAATAACCCACATGCATTACAACAAACTCTTTAAAACGATTTAAGATTGTGATGACTTGTAATCAGGAATTTTGCAACGAATGGTAATGGTTTATTTTGTTTTTTCAATTAATTTCTTCGTTGATTCCTGTTAAGAACTTACCACAGATACGGGTAGCCATTAGATGCTCCACATTGATGTTCTGGTCTACAGCAGTAGTCCCAAGCACCGTTTACTCCACCTTCAAGTTCACAAAACCAGAATCCTGCTTCAAGGTTCTCCTGACAACGTGCTCCTCTTTTGCAAGGCCATCCACTAACACTGTAGACCCTCCACGTATCCATCGCATAAGGCAAATCTAAAATTTAAAGCTTTTATTTTGTCAAATAAAAAATGGTCCTGAATTTTTATAGAAATTGATGATAATAATAATAAATTTATTATTTACCAAAACAAAAAACTGATTATAGATGCTTTAAAATAACAAACATTAGTAAATAAGTGGTACAGTATTAGGTTCAAAAACTAATTCTTCCATACTGTCCATTGATTCTTCCATACTGCCCATTGATAAGTTTCTTAAGCTGACTTACTGAGAGGCAAATCTATTAAAAGGAACAGAGACAGAAAAAAGAGAATGAGGTTTATGCACGCCCAGAAGTCGGGGGTTCGAAGTTTAATTTCGCTAAATTGTTCAACCTAAGAAATTTAACAATCTACTGATACAAGGTGTTAAAAAAATCTCAATATTTTTCATTTTTCAATCAATCTTTGAAATATCCTGTGTACTAATAGTATTTCTTACAATCTCTGTCGTATAATCCGTTCGTGATGTGATTGGTCCGTATAGAATCGTCTCCTAAAATCACACAATCAGGATTGTAGTTGTCCCATGCAAATAACAAAGAATGTGGATCATATACGTAATCCAGTTTAGGAAGCAGGTCTCTTTGATAAATGTCGGAGAGATCACAGTTTGGACTGGTTCCCGGAGTATTGGCTCTAAAAAGAAAATCCGAAATTTATTGAAAAATTAATATAAAAGCAGTGAAAATGAAAAACCCTTAATTCCCCTACAATATTATGAAAATTACACCTTCATATCCCCAAAATTAAAAGAAACTGTTTAATATAATAGTTAAAAAGGTTTCGTATTTCCAGAGTATTTGAAACTAATATTTCTGATACACATTTTTCACGTGATTGTTTTTGTATTTATTAGCACTAAAATTTTATTAAAGATGTAGTAAAAGATGTGGTAGAAGATGAGGTACAAGATGTGGTACAAGATGTGGTAAAAGATGTAGTAAAAGATGTAGTAAAAGATATAATAAAAGATGTAGTAAAAGATGTAGTGAAATTAGTAGTAAAATATTTAGTAAAAGATATAAAAGATGTAAAATATGTAAAAGATGATGTAAAAAATGTAAAAGATCTAAAAGATGTAGTAAAGGTGTAAATAAAATGTAAAACATGTATATTTACCTAAAGCTAAACGACATGCATTGGAAGAGGGTTTCCAGTCTCGATTTTGAACACTCCTCTCTACATTCAAGTTCAGAAAAAACTCTTACTGATTTTTTAATCGCATGTGGTAAAAGACGAGCAGGCGATCCAAATCCAATGTAACAAACTAGAAGTTAAAAAAAAAGAAATAACAGAAAGTAAATGTGCCTTAAATACAAGATTGCGATGATAACTCCTGCTAGTGAAAAAATATACTTGGAAAAAGTATACTTATCATTATTTTCTACATAATTTCTTCTTAATATATCAATTGATTAACATTTTTGAATCTTTTTAAATTAGCTGGCTCTAAATAACACGGACAAGAAAAATGAATAGGTGGTACCAGTGTTGCCAGTCTACTAAAATTGTACTAGATCTAGTACATTCTCTTAGAATCTGCTACCCTAGTACACTCGAAGCAAAATCTAGTACTCTTTCCTTTTCTGTGGGTTACCATTTAACGCGTGTAAAATATATTGTTAAGATTCCTCCTGGTTTTGTTTCTGTTCCATAAACACTTTTTTTTATCCTCATTGAACTGAAAATCTAGTACATTTTATAGAATCTGGTACATTTTTTAGACAAATCTGGTACATAACAAAAATATATTCTGGCAACACTGGGTGGTACCTATAGGTTTCAAAAATAATGTACACAATTTACTTTTAATTCTCACTTACGCTGATCTGGATTAAAAATTGGTTTATGTTCGTGATGACCTTTGATTCCAAAATGGCCGGTTTCGCAACCGTGACCGAAACTGCCTCGTTCATAAATTTCAAATCCAGGTTCGAGAATAAAGTGAATTGAAGGATTTAATTCGTAATACGGCCAATCTGTTAACTGACAATTATCAATTAGTCCGCCAACCGTGTGAGGTCCATATCTACAAAATTTAGGTCATGTATAAGTGCGAAAACCGATAAAATACGAATTGTTTTTAATAAAAAAAAAATGGTTGTTACAGGTAGAAAAATTGTTTGAATATTATATAATAAAAACCAGTGGCGGCTCGTGGGGTGGTTCACAGTGACAGAATATAGGTATCAGTACAGATGTATGAAAAAACTTTCAGTGTTTTATAAAGTTTATAATATACCTCTCTAAAACACTGAATTTTTTACATATATCTGTACCGGGATCTATATTCTGCTACTGTGAACCCCAAAAATTTTGGTCTCGAGTCGCCCCTGATAAAAATCATATTTAGAAGTTTTCTGAAAGCACAAGAGAACCTAATACACGGTGTAACAAAAAGGTAGGTCGCCAATTCTTACTCATTTAATCTTGATTTGTTTGTTAGATTTGTGCCTTTTCTTTCAAAATTATTTCGAATGTACGTTTAATTTGATACATTTTTCGGTATTTTTTAAAAAACATGTTCCCTTCTATAGGGAAAATAATTATTCCAATACTTTTTATTGTAATAATAATTTATAATCAACATTTTTGTTACACCCAGTATAAAATTAATTGCTTACTGTACCTACCTATAGCTAAATGCTCTACAAGTAAATTTTTTTGATTTCAAACATTCTATTTGACAATCAACAATAGAATTAGCTTTTAAGGAATCCCTTACGATCTTGTCATGTAATCGTTCACCACTTCTGACTCTCCAAAAACAATCTGAAAACAAGTAAGACGATTAAATTGCGAATATATCAATTATCAATGCATGTACCGCTACTTTCTCTGCTTTGGATTAGGGGTTGTTCGCATTTATTCCTATTATTCATGGTATAAACATCGAAATCTCTATCGGGTTCCAAATCTGTATAGTTGTCCAGCTCTTTGTAGTCTACGTTACTCAAATAGCAATTTTCCGATGGTTCCGATACAGTAACAGTATATCTAAAATTATATATATATTATATTTTCATCTGATTGATAAGGCTCATAGTTAAAAATTAAGTCTTAAAAATTGGTAGATGTTGATATAATGTTAAATAATAAAATGTTTCTGTATTGCTGAGGCCTAAATACGGTTGCACTCTTGTTGGACATCAGAATTAGGATAGATAGACAAATTGTCACAAACATTAATTTTAAGGGCGATTCGAAAATGGGCCTCAGACCGATAACAAACATTAAATGTGTAGGAAAGTGAATCCAGATCCAAAATTTGGCTGCTTCATAACTGGGTCCAATTTATTTTATGTAATCATTTTTTGCAAAACAAGCCGCGAATGCTCTAGGCCGTACAGGTTAGGTAATTTATTTAAGTATTGTTTTGTATTTTTCTGATTTTATGTATACTGTTTTTTGTCTGTTACCTGAGTTCAGATTGAAGAGTAAGGGGGATAATTCTTTATATCCAATATATACGGAAATCATTCTCAATTAGTAAAATTTTATGTGACAGGTGTAGTGGAATATAATGTGCGTTCATTTATTGAAATTATCCTATAGTAAGAATTTTGTCTAATTATTAAAAACCTTACCTTGGCTATTTTCCACAATTAAGTCTGTATTGGTATCGTGAAAAAATCACCTTCCGAGATTATTTCACGTTTTAGGGTCCCTAGATTTCGAAAAACATGTTTTCCCATTCTGTCAGTCTGTCTGTTGGCGCGATAACTCAAAAACGGCTTTATAGAAAAACTGCAAATTTTGTATGGATATAAGGTTCCTTTCTGGCTCGAAACCAGTTATACTTCCGAACAGTTATATACAGGGTGAGCAGTTTTTAAATAAAAATTATTTTTAAAAGTCGTCAGATTTCGACTAAAATTGGTATCTGAGAATTTTAGAAGACAAAGATTACAGATTTAAAATAATTTTTTAAAAATTCAAAAAGGCGCAGAAAGGAATCGTATTTAATTTAAAAAGAGCCCCCTTGATTGGAAATAATAAAAATTGTCCTTTTGGTTTGTGCAACTGGATCATTTTAAAAGCAGCCAATCATTATGTTCAATAATGGTGATCGTGGCGACGAATACCGAGTGGACGCGAAGTGAGAATTTGGGTGGATCAAGAGGAAGCTCGATGAAGAGTAATGTGAAAAAGGGTTTTTGGTTTGGTGGTTTTAATTTTAAATCATTAAAATGTTAAGTCCTGTTTTTACAATTTCTATATCGAGGGAAGTTCTGGGTAAAATATTTTTTTTGTTAACTTACCGATATGCATAAGAAGCACATGGAAAATCCTTTTCTTTGAAACACAACAGCTCACATTCGTAAATATTTGGAACTGCAAAGTACTTTTTCACTATTCGTTTATGTAACTTAAATCCAGTAACACTTCTCAAAGAACATTCTGTAAAATATTAACTATGCTCAGATATGAAATTCTAATTTTTTTAAATATATTATCATTACTTAACGAAAATATTCGGTACCTACGCCAAATTAAGATGTAATCCAAATTTTTTTTCTTGAGATTTAAATTTCACTAAATTTTAACTTTTCATTTTACCTAATTCTTTGTAATCATGAAAATGTTTGGTATATTTATGTTTAAATACAGCACTTTTTCTGCTTTGTTACGCACTACCTACACTTATAACCTATAGGAATTCTAATATTTGGAATGAATCTAAAGTTATATTAACTTGGTTATAAAAATTTTATTCATGCAAATTATTTGAAATTTAGACAATAGATATTTTCATTAAAAGACATAGTGCCGTTGCAAAATCATTGCAAGAGCTTTCGCCATCTATCAGTTTACAAGATTTTATTTCAAAGGACACTGTAAATTTATCGTTTCGGTAATCTGTCTAAGGTTACAGCGTCAGCATAAATGTCTTTTTTTTTTTTGGTTTCTTCTATTGTTGTATGGGTCCAGTTTTTCACTACCCCATTGCCAGTGCTTAGTTTTTAAAAAGTTTTTATTTTACAAAAATCAGCCATAAGAACCCTAATACGCGCTTTTTGGTAAGTCAGATAGACCTCAGATAGTGCTAGTGAAAATCTGAGCCCATACAGCTAAAGAAGACACGAAAAAAAGAAGAATATGCTGCGCCGTAACCTTAGGATAATTTACAGTTTTCTTTAAAATAAAATCCTGCTTCTATTACTTTCTATATTAACTGATAGATGGCGTAAAGTTCTTGAGATATTCTTCAACGGCAATGTATCTTTCTATGAAAACATCTATTGTTTTTTCCACATTGAATAATACATTTACCTTTTATTAAATATGTTTATTAAGTATAACGCCTTCGTTTTAAATTTATAATGTCTGCATTTAAAAAAAACGAATTAACATTGTGATATATTATGTTAATTTATTATTATTAGATATTTAAACAATTATTTTAAACAGCTAAAGTAGAAAATGAAAATCATCAGTTTTCTTCCAGGAAAATTTGAGTCAATTGATTCAAATGCAAATGCAAACTAGAAACCAAATTTCTGATCTAAAGTTTAGTAGTATTTAGTTAATAAACCGAATGGAATGTACATCTTATTTATTACAGTAAATTTAATTTTGTTGACGTTCATTCTGGTACCATCTGAAAGGTTTTTGGTATATGTGTATTAACAAGAAATTTCGACAAAGTTGTAAACGAGGGAGATACCGCGATGGAAAATTTTTGTTCACTAGTACCTACACATTGAGGTCCCAAATAGTACAGAATTGTATATAGTACGTAAATAGGACTAAAATAGTACACACTTAGTGTATAAATAGATACAAATTAAGTTGATGAGCTAAAAAAAGGTCGCAGTTTAAAATTAAGTTGATGGCCTAAATAAAAGGTCTTCACTCAATTTTTCTCCACGTCGCCAACGCGAAGAAGGGCAAGATAAAATGGCAACAATGTAGGGATCCATCTGATAAGACTATTTTAAACAATAAATTCAAACACTGATAAGAGATATTCGAATTGTTAAGGAATAATCAACAAACTCCTACCTACAGAATTATATTTTTTAGTTATTGAGGTTAAACATACATTAAAATGGGATATTCTTGTGTAGAATCGATAAATAATAGCATTTCTGTTTTTATTTCGTCTATAATTATAAATAAGTTGTTAATTTAAATAGAACTATTTAATTACGAGTATTAAAGCAACAAAAGTAAAAGAATAGGTGGTCCTGTGTCAGCGTTCTTACCTTCCACACGGAAGACTCGAGTTCGATTCTCGGATGGGGAAAAATTAAATGAACTTTTTCTTATTTATTTTTCGTTTATTTAATTTTAAAAATTAATAAAAGTCAAATTATTTTAAAATTAGTAATTTTGTTTTAATAACCTAAAATATTTTTTTTATTTGTAAATTTTCGTTAGTGGGTTGTAGAAAAAATATACTGTACAACTCGAGTGGATTGTCCACATTGCACTCAGACAATTGAGCATTCCGCCTACGGCGTCGTGCCCAAATTTCGTCTTCGTTCGATATGGCCATCATATCTACTCTTGTTGCACAAACTTCTAATTTTGCAGTGTTCTTACTACCTAGAATGGATATAAAATATATTCGTTCAGTTGAAGGCAATTTGTGCGTAGATAAGCTAATATCCATGTGAGTGTAGAAAAAATATATTTTAACATCACTGCTCATATCAATGTCAATTAATAATCATATTTGATCATTCTTAAATCTTTTAATAACCTTTTCAATTTAATTTACTCATTTTGAATGTATTCAATCAAATCTCCATATAGTTCAACCTCGTTTCGCTCTTACTCGAATTACACCTTGAGTTACCTGACCTACACACGAAATTCACACATGTCGTGCCCTTGTTAACAGGTGACATTCAATAGGTGACAATTGACATTTGGAAGGACACTTGCATTGACGAAAATGGCTATTTAAAAAAGTCTTAAACTTAAAAATTTAAACAATTTAACAACTTGTATTTGCTTTATTTAAGTAATACCTAGTTTTGACCTACGGGTGCGATAGCCTTTAATCCATAGTAATTTATTTATTAGCAACTATCCTTGTTATACATTTGTAAACCAGTCAAGTAGATGCAATTAAGAATTTTTTGCTGATTTGATTTAGTAGCAACCAAATATACTAAGTTTATTACTTTCAAGTTCGTTACTAATTATCTTATTTGTATTATATTTTCAGTTATTTAACCATGTATCAATCTGCTATCGATCGTAAATTATTTAACGTAACAATAAGAAAACCCGTTATTGTTACCTTCTTAGAATAATAGTCTGATAACAACGTGACCCCTGGGATTTTTCGTTATTTCCATCTGAAGCTACCCGAGCCCTTTATCAAGCTATATCGAAAGGTTTTAGAGCAAACCTCGTTAGCAAAACTGGCGCCCGAGTAATTTCCGTTATTAATGAGAACTATAGCAATTTCTTTTTAATATACATCTATTACCTTTCAGATATACCAAAAACAGAACCGTATACCACTTTTAAAGAAATTTTGCGAAATTAATCGACCTAATCTTGTTGCTGTGAAATCATTAAATCTTAACTAGGTATAATATTATTTACAATATTAGACTAGTAAAAATGTTTACCGTCTTGTATATAGTTGTAAGTAGGTCTCCTATGCTCAATAGGTAAAAGTGAACTATCCGGTACTACTAATATGCTACTAGGTTCAACAGGTTTAGGAACTGGTATGTAACTTCCAACTTCAGGCGGGGTTAAAGCAGGATCCGGCGGTAGATAGCTACCTCCTCCATATTTATTTAAACCCCAATAGCTATAATTATTTTTGTATTTATGATAGAGTCCCCAATCGTTTGGAGCTTCTTTCCTAGGAGGTAAATAAGCATTCGGTTTGAAACCGTGAGTTTCACCATATCGGTGGGTATCAATATCCCACCTGTCTTTCTGATACTTGTAGTAATTGATAGATGGAAATGAATCGTATGGTTTTTGATCGAAAGGAACTGGTTGGGGAGGGAGTAATGGAGCAGCAGAATATCTCCTATTGTCAATTCTGTCGTGTTCATTAAAGAAATGAGTGGTTTGAGGGAGATATGAGAAATCTGAAACAAAAACGGTTTCAATTATTTAATACTGAAAATAATTTTACATTTCGTTGTATAGACATTGAGTTACTTTAGTTGTGCTAAACATTCTACTAAAAATTGCAGTTAGTATTTTAATTCTAGTAGTATTTTTATTGACTTCGATTAAGTGGGTAATTTGACACATAACACGTCCCAAATTATGGTATCAGAAAGATATTTACCTCCTCTTCTTTTGGTGTTAGGTCGGTTACCGTAGTCGTACGAATGGGAATCGTATCTTCGATCTATTTCAGGACGGCGAGGTCTGTAATAGTCATCCGGCCAACGTTCTGGCTGTCTATACGGTGCTGGTATTAAAGGTCTTCTAGGTGCTAAAAAAATATTCACAATTTAATGTTAAAGAAAAGCAGATTAAAAAAAGTTTAATATTAATTGTTCACTTTATATTATTAATCTTTGACTTTTTTTCTTGTTTGCCACGATCTTTTCGGATTTATGGTGGCACCTTATCCCTTTCACCAACAACAACATGGATAGTCTAGTGGTTTCACTAGAATTAGCATCTAGTTACATGTTTTTGGTTTTTCTTCGTTTAGGTTTAGATATCTCAATCTAGTCAGCATTCAGAATGGATTAATAATACGAGATCAGCATAGGGATTCTTTTGTGTGAACTGGACACGTTATGTATTGAATAGAGAGAGACATTACGTAAAAATCGCAGTCTGTCGAACGAAGATAGGCTTCTCGGCATATTATGCTGTATTGAAAGATGAGAATCCCATTGCTGACCATTTGGTTACTGGGCAAATCATTTTTTTTTCCTTTAATAACTCTAGTGTTTAAGATCTTATAATTCTAAATTTAACATTGACTTAACTTACCCTCATAATCATATCTCCTATCTGGTAAACGATTCCTTACGCCATAGGGATTGTTAGTGTCTCTAATTCCATGTCTATAATCATCGTAATCATTGTATCCATTGTAACTGTTGTATTGGTTGTTGTACTTGTAACCAGAAGGTCTTTGTCTACAATTTAACGCAGCTGCATTTCTGTCTCTTTCGTAATAATCGTAATCTGGCTCGGGATAGGTATCCCTGTAGACGTCTATCCTTGATAAAGGTACACTTAGTAATTCGCAGTCACCTTTTCCTCTACCAGATGGATCCAACCTAAAATTGCGTGTAACTCAAGTAATTTTGCCGGAATTAATTTAATTTTTTTTATTTATAATCAGTGTATAGTGCCTAATTAATAAAATATGAAATCCAATGTTTTCCGTTAGATAATTCCAGTAATTTTCCATGATGCACGGTATTAAATGCCTCTGCTAGGTTTAAAAATACACACAAACTAGGCCTACTTCCATCAAGACATTTATAAGTATATAGAAATAATATTATTAAACCTTTTTCAAAAATTTTAGTAAGATCTGTAATAACAGATATAGGCAGTGGCATAGCCAGAAATTTTTATGAGAACTATAGGGGGGTTTCCACCAACAAAGTAAAAATTTTATTAAAAAAAGTGAATAAAAACCAGCACCAATACGTTAGCAGAAATGGCGGCGATGCGAAGGGGGTTTTGACTCTCAAAACCCCCTCATGGCTACGCCACTGGATATAGGACCAATACTATTTGTATTAAAATAATATTTTTCGACACTCTCTGAATGCCTATTTAAATAGAATGTGTAACCTTGACTTTAAAGCATTCATTACGAAAACCTTACCGTCTTATCGTCGCAGTTTATAATGAACATTTTATACATATAAATAATCAAAAATTGGTGAGAAAATCTCACCATGTGTGATAATTTTGAATGCAAACCAAGAGTCTCCTTGAAGAAGATAATTGCAATTGCTATTGTTGTAAGAGACCTATCAGTCCGAAATATCTATCTCATTAAGAAAATTTCGACAAATAATAACGATTATTAGGTTAAACAAAATAATTATTCGGTCTTCTTTAATATAAGGTTATCAAGAACACATAAAAAGGTAGCATGCTTTACCTTGTTAGCATACACTTTAATTAAAATTCTACGGATATAATTGAGGAGTCTAGAGAAGGCTAGACTGTATCTTAATAAAAAGATATTGAGAGATTAAATCAAAAAGTCTCTACTGTATACTATCTAATTCAGTAAAATCAACACGTAATAGTCTGCTACTTTCTATATTCAGGATAATTTTCATTCTTTTTTTACTGTTTTTAAATTAATCACAGGTAGTAATAAAATTATTATTTTGAGGTTCAAAGGTCTTTTTCGTTCCCATAATTATTAAGAAGACTTACCTATAATTAAACCCTTCACAAATAAAAATTTTTTCATCTGCACACTGCGTTTGACAATCTTCCAAGCTCTCGCAAATCAACGCTCTTCTGACTAGACCACGCGAAATACGTTTTCCAGCCATGACTCTCCTGAAACAAGCTGAAATGATTTTGGTTTTAATGAGAGTGTTTTAAATCAATACAAAATGAAAAATATTGAATAATTTGTAAATCCTCCTACGAATTATTAAGACCATTCCCGAATTCCAAAAGTGAAAACAGAGACTTAGAGATTTGTCTTAGCATTTCCATTTTTAAATACACAAATTATAGGATGTAATTTACTATAATAAAAACTTTTAAAAATAAAATAAATTGACAAACATTTGACTAGCTCCAAATCACAAAACAGTCAATATGGTTGTTTTATGATTTGAAATTAGTCAAAATAAACCAGTTTATTTTTTTTTGTCTCTTTTCTTCAATACTTTTTGCCCAGCTAGCAGAAAGTTATATTGCAAAAAGCCCGGCTCTAGCAGTCCTATTGAATTTAGTTCCACTCCAATTTGGCACAACGCCTCAGAATTTTACCATTGAGTTACTATTTAGTATATACGAAATAAGTATGTTTCGCTAACACTGTCAACATCAGGAGTCGAGTACCAAATGTGATGATTTTGGTTCATTCAATACGTTTTCTATTTTATACTCAAATTATTAAATAAAATAAGATTGAATTATTATTTTAAAAATAAAAAACAAAAGAAAAATAAAAATTCAAAGTTTGTGTCATAAAAAGATCGAGCGACCGTTTTCTCCTGAAAGCAAGTACTTCTTTAGCTAATACTGCAACAGGCATTACATCATATCAAACAAAAAATAGTAAAGGGAGAAAATAATTTTTTACACTGTTAATTTTAATTTAGGTGTCCCATTTTCGCATACAAGCTTCGAAGAGGGTTGAAATGTACATCGAAGTTGAGTAGAATGAAAGGAAATTTACCAAAATGACCCATGGGGATAACAGAAATTAAAGGTGTTTTTGCTCATATTTCACGCAAGCCATGTTCACTGAATGATTAATTAATAAAACTTGGCTTCGGAAAATCAAAGGCCTTAGTGCTGCAAGTGGCTAAAGGATTGAATTAAGGCCGTAATCTTGTAATGAAAAATCGATATTTTAACCGATTTTTCCACAGAAGCCCGTCAAAAATATGAAAACATACATCGTCACTAGCCCGAAAAACATATTGGCTTGAGTGGCGCGAATGGATAAGTATATTTTGGAGTCGGAAAAATTATCGCAATTTTTTTTGGATTTTGCAGTTATTTTTACATGCAAGCCTTTGAAACCATAGAATGTTATTAATGTGTTAGAAAATGCCACCATTTTCTCACGCTAGCCGTTTGTCATATGTTTAGAATAAGTGATTATAAGACTATATGGCAAAAGGCTTGAGTGTCGGATATGATCATCATATCAGTCATTATATTAGGACTGAAGCTAAACAATGGTTTGATAGCAACGAATTATTTTTAAATCACAATAAAACTGAAACATGTGTCTTCAGGTTGAACCAAACTACTAGTGAAACAATGAACACTAAATTTCTCGGTATATATTTTGACACACAACTTACATGGAACTATTAAATAAATAGCTTATGCAACAAGTTAGCAAAATTCAAGTTTGCTCTACGTAGAATATCAAATATAGTTAATACAGAAGCAGCAATAACTACTTATTATGGCTTATTCCATTCCAATTTAACATATGGTATTCTAACTTGGGAAAATACTAGCTTCACTTCACTACAAAGACTTTTTATCTTGCAAAAATCAGCAGTTCGCTCTATTCTGCGGGTAAATTATTATGAACCATGCCGACCACTATTTAAACAACTTAGCATAATGACCTTGTTTTCGCAAATAGTATTTGAAAACTTGCTAGCCATAAAAAATACTTTGGGAAACTTCACATGTCACTCAGACAATCATACATACGATACCAGAGGAAAAAATCAGTTAATCCAAACGAGAACTAGAATAAACAAGTCATTCTATAATGCCCCACATCCGTAATCTACCAGGAAAAAAGTTTAAACATCAAATTAAAAAGATATTACTGGACATGTGTCTATATAACACTAACGATTATTTTGTAAGAGTGAAACATGTCACCTAATATTTTTAATATTGTATTTTTTATATATTTTTTATTACTATTACCAACCATGATCTTTTAAAATCCTATTTTATTTTAAATTTTATATGGATATGTTGTATGTTATTGTATTTAAAATGTGGTTTATTTTACCTTTTATGTGTACTGACGACTATGTAAACATGTTTATATATGTATTACTGAGAATAAACTATTTCTATTTCTATTAATTATATATAATTTATTTATCAAAAAACTGACAAAACAAATCTAGAAATTATCACCATTTTCCCACACAAGCCGTTTGGTACTATGGCGTAGAACCGCCACAAATTATTTTTTTTTTAATTCTGACTTATAACTCGGAATTCCGACTTGTAACTCAGAATTCCAACTTGTATCTTGGAATTTCGACTTGTAACTCGGAATTCCGACTTGTAACTCAGAATTCCAACTTGTATCTCGGAATTCCGACATACAACTCGGAATTCAAATTCAGAGGTCTGAAATCACAATTGATATTGAATAAAGACCCCGATTAAATATGCTGTGTATTTTGATTGGCATTTTGGAGTAGATAATGACTTTCTTAAATGAGGTAAGAATATGCTCCATGACTGACACTCAAGTCTTGTTATACAGTCTTAGAATCGCTGTGTGAGAAAATGGTGGCAATTTGCATATATTTTTCCAGCAACCTTCCTATGTTTTGAAAATTTGAAGATCACGCTCTACACTCAAGCCATTATTTTTTTATGGGTTTTTAAATTCATAAGTTTTTATTGCAAAAAAATAACTGAAAAATCGAAAAAAATTCTGTTGGTTTTCCGAAGCCAACTTTTATTAATTAATCATTCAATGAATACGGCTTGCGTGGAAATATGAGCAAAAAACACCTTTTATTACTGTTAAGGAAAATCGAATATTCCATATCTTATCCCCAGGGGCCACTTGTAAATTTCCTTTCATTTTACTAAACATCGATGTACTTTTCAATCCTCTTTGAGGCTTGTATTCGAAAATGGGGCACCTAAATCAGTCACTATCTGATGGTCTATAAGGAAAACATCATTCTTGGACCGAGTTCGTCCCTATCAGGACTCAGCAATAAATAGACAATCGACTCTAGTCTCTAATAAAGTTTGCCGGCTGTGCTAAATTTGCTCGCCCCCATTAACGGAGGTTGAAAGAATATAGATATTCGACGAGTAAAAATCAAAGCTCATTGTAGTACCTAGTTTTCTAGAACAAGGCGGAATAATAACCAGACTGGCAATTATTTCTTATAAGATAAATGAGAAAAATACACAAAATCTGTAACTAAATATATTTACTCGTATGTGTAAATGAAAAAATAAGAAATAATGATCTATAATGATGGATTACGTTTGTTAGGCAATAAGCACTGATGATGGCCTACAGGCCGAATGCGCTTTGCGATTTTAATGAATATTAAAAATATGTATTAATTAATTTAAAAAATTAACTATTAGAGTTATTTTTCTTATCGTAATGATGAAGTAAGAATCTAAACGAATACTTTTATCTTGTTACATCTCAATTAGTACCAAAGAAGTGTGAAATACGAATTGACACGCTTAACGCGCTCCAAATATGCCAACTAAGAAAACATGAATAAATTAAGTATTCTTATAAGTTGACTTTTAACGTTATTTGTTGGTAAATTTGATATTTTTTTTCGAAAATAAAATTTTTAATTTTATAAAAGTCTAGGTATATTTTTAATATCTAATCTATAATAATAGGCAGTAATATAATTTGTAAAAAATGGTGGTATTTTTTATCATTGGACCAATAGTTATTTATTTTAAACATTTGATTGGCATAGTTTGTAGAATGAAAGGAATTTTTCTTTCAAAGATATTGCACCCCTTCCTAATTATGAGCACCCACTCGAAAATTTTAAATAAGAAAGTGGCGTGGCAGCTTGTTTGAAAAGTATTTTAATTATTTTTTCAGTAATATAAATTTTTTTGAATTTGATGCAATCTTATAACTGTATTTTTGAATTTATTTTACAATTAATTATTTTTTTCATTCCACGTAAAGTTTTGTGATCGAAATTATCCAAACTTTACATTTTCATAATTAATTTTCTCAGTTATGTTAGCACCAAATTTAAAAAAATTTATATTGCTGAAAAAGGAATTAAAATAGCATTCAAACAAGGTGTCACACGACCCAGTTTCCTATTTAAAATTTTCGAGGGGGTACTCGTAATTAAGAGGGGGTAATGTTTTTACAATATAAATTCTCAAATTAGGAATATAAATCGATGCGTTTTAAATTTTTCCCAAAAGTACATAATAACGCTAAAAAAGAATTTATTCCATACATATGGACCGCACAATATATTTATATTTTAAGGCCCCTAAATTAAGTTAAAAAATTATTACTACAACTTGGATTAAAAATAAAGCAAAAAATTACTAGGTTTAAAAGATTAATAAGATATTTAAAATTGCAGATTAAAAATTAAAAAGTAAGTAAAGTATTTTTTTATTTTTATATTATTTGAATTCTGTTTTCAGGTCTTTTGATAAATAATAATTAAAAACTTTTGAAACTAGATAAAAATAACTTTTTTTGATTTTGACATATAAAGTGACATTTTTTGTAATCACAACTAGTGTCAAACTGATCCACTTTATGCAACCAGTTGCTTGATTTTTCCTAAAGATTTGAAATTGATATCGTTTTTATTTCGGTGTTTTTTTAATATTTTAACCCTTCAATTTTATTTATCTTTTTTTCAGATTAAGTAGGATTCATCTCCTTATAGAGCTTCATTTTTTATTAAAAATTTCATGTTGATGTTGATTCTCGCTTTTAGTTATTTTTATTTTTAATTTCAAGTCCTTTAACCCCCTAATTTTTATTCATGTAGAATTTGATTTTTCCTGAAAAAAGTTGATATCGTTTTTGATTTTTTTTTTTAATATCAACCCCCTCTCCGTGGAGTGCGTAAAGAATGA